ATTGTGCTAGGTGAGCACAATTCAGCACAACTTGCAGATTTCAAAAATTCCACATATTACAAAAGTTATTCATTTTTTTAATTTTTAGCGAGTAACGAGTAAAGGTGGAAATTCGTTATGTATGGACGAAAAATTGTGCTAAGTGAGCACAACTCAGCACAATTTACCGCATCTCGATATTTAAATTTTTACAAAAATTACAGCAATTTTTCGTTATATATGTATTTTTTCCAATTTTAACTAGTAACGAGTGGAAATACAAATTTTTAATGTATGGACGAAAAATTGTGCTAGGTTAGCACAAATCAGCACAACTTTTAGTTTTTTAATATCTTGTTTCTAAATATGCGATTTTGATTTTTACGATTTTAACGAGTAACGAGTAGAGATACAAATTTCCAATGTATGGACGAAAAATTGTGCTAGGTGAGCACAATTCAGCACAACTTGCAGATTTCAAAAATTCCACATATTACAAAAGTTATTCATTTTTTTAATTTTTAGCGAGTAACGAGTAAAGGTGGAAATTCGTTATGTATGGACGAAAAATTGTGCTAAGTGAGCACAACTCAGCACAATTTACCGCATCTCGATATTTAAATTTTTACAAAAATTACAGCAATTTTTCGTTATATATGTATTTTTTCCAATTTTAACTAGTAACGAGTGGAAATACAAATTTTCAATGTATGGACGAAAAATTGTGCTAGGTTAGCACAAATCAGCACAACTTTTAGTTTTTCGATATCTTGTTTCTAAATATGCGATTTTGATTTTTACGATTTTAACGAGTAACGAGTAGAGATACAAATTTCCAATGTATGGACGAAAAATTGTGCTAGGTGAGCACAATTCAGCACAATTTACCGCATCTCGATATTTGAATTGAAACAAAAATTACAGCAATTTTTCGTTATATATGTATTTTTTCCAATTTTAACTAGTAACGAGTGGAAATACAAATTTTCAATGTATGGACGAAAAATTGTGCTAGGTTAGCACAAATCAGCACAACTTTTAGTTTTTCGATATCTTGTTTCTAAATATGCGATTTTGATTTTTACGATTTTAACGAGTAACGAGTAGAGATACAAATTTCCAATGTATGGACGAAAAATTGTGCTAGGTGAGCACAATTCAGCACAACTTGCAGATTTCAAAAATTCCACATATTACAAAAGTTATTCATTTTTTTAATTTTTAGCGAGTAACGAGTAAAGGTGGAAATTCGTTATGTATGGACGAAAAATTGTGCTAAGTGAGCACAACTCAGCACAATTTACCGCATCTCGATATTTGAATTGAAACAAAAATTACAGCAATTTTTCTGAAAAATACTGTTTTTTTCGAAATTGCCATATCTTGAAAACGGTTGATAATATTGAGAAAAAATAAACGGCACAAGTTAGCACAAATCAAACGCGACCCAGCACAACTTTAATTTTTTCGAAATTCGAAAATTGCAATTCTGACATACTTTCGAAATTATCGTTTTTTTCGAAATTGGTAAGAGATATCGAAAAAATTTTAACGGCACAAATGGGCACAAACCGAGTACGACTCAGCACAACTTTAATTTTTTCGAAATTCGAAAATTGCAATTCTCTCAGATTTTTTCGAAAAAAAATCTTTTTTCGAATATCTCAGAAATTTTTTCGAATTTCGAAAAAAAAATTTCGGCACAATTGAGCACAAACCTAGCACAATTCAGCACAACTTTCCTTTTTTCGAAATTCGAAAATTGCAATTCTCTCAGATTTTTTCGAAAAAAAATCTTTTTTCGAATATCTCAGAAATTTTTTCGAATTTCGAAAAAAAAATTTCGGCACAATTGAGCACAAACCTAGCACAATTCAGCACAACTTTCCTTTTTTCGAAATTCGAAAATTGCAATTCCAACGGACACCACATTGGATAAACAACTTGACATATACGGAGAGCAACAAACAAAAGTATGTAATCTTGGTTAATAAAAAAGTTAAGTAATTGACTGACTGACTGACTTAACGATTCATCGACGTCCACACGAAGTGGCTGAAGCTAGAATCTTGAAATTTTGGATGAGGGTCACTCTTGGTCAGGAGGGGTCAGATAAGGCTGGGGTTTTGGAAATTCGTACTAGAACGGTACGAAAAGCATTAAAAGGAAATATGGCACCCTTTGTATTTGAGGCAGCAGTAGAGCTAGAACTCTTAATTGAATGAGGGTCATTGATGGAGTGTATGATAGATGTACCAAAGGGTTTTTGGAAATTCCACTATAAGTGAATTTCGTATCATGTGAACGGTTAGAGCTAAAAACTTGCAATTTGGAATGGGAATCAAGGTTAAAATGTAGAGTCAAAGTAAGGAGGTAGTTTTGGAAGTGTGTACTCATGTACACGAAAAGTACTAAACGGTACTAAATTTGGTACAATTGGAATTTGGAGGAACGGAGGCAGCTGGAATTTGAAATTAACATTACTGGCTGAGTGTAGGATTGGGATATGGAGGAAGTTGTCGAAATTTGTACTTATGTGCACGAAAAGTACTAAATAGTACTGAATTACTATTGTATAATTTCAATTTTGGGAGGACCTGACATTTGAAAATAAGATTACTATTGCATTGAAGGGCTGGGGTACGTAGGTAGTTTTGAAAATAGGTACTTATGTGTACTAAATGGTACTAAATTCGGTAGAATGTACATTTTGAGTAAATTTTGAGGTATAGAGGTAGTTTTGGAAATTTGGAGTGTAGAATTGTGGTATGTAGGAAGTTTTGGAAATTCGTACTTGTGTGAACTAATTTTCTATGTACTAAACTTAGTACAATTTTAATTTGTGTGAACCGATAGGGCTGTAATACTGAAATTTGGAGTGTAGGATTGTGTTATTTAGGAACTTTTAGAAATTCATACTTATGTGTCTAAATGGTAATAATTTGGTACAAATTGAATTTGGACCTGGTGTCCTGAAATTTGGAATTAATTTTGGAAATAAGTACCACAAGAGTAAAAAAAGGTAATAAATGGTGCAACATTTAGTACTGATTGTACGGATAAAGTTAGATTTCTAAATGGTGCAGAATTTGTATGTAGTGTAGAGATATAGAGGTAGTTTTGGAAATACGTACCGGTTATGTACGAAAGGTACTAACATTTGAATTATGGCCGATATTGGTGTGTAGGTTTGAGATAAGAAGTGGTTTTGGAAATGAATACTTACGTGAAGGAAAAGTTCCAAGTGGTACTAAAATCGGAATTAGGTATATGAAATAGTAGTGAAATAACTGACTGGATTAGGTATATGAAATAGTAGTGAAATAACTGAACTCCGGAATCCACATCCTTTCATAATATGTATTGGCCACCTTTCTATCTAAATTTTAGGAACAACATTTTCAAGATTCAAACTTTTTATAGTCATATTTAGTACAATTTGGTTCTTTTCATAGTAGGAATTCCTAGATCCACCTTCTTCTCTGAAAATAATATACCAACAGTCGTGTTCATATTCAGACCTAATCCTAAATTGACTACCATCCTTTTTGTACAGTTATACAACGCATATCCAAACTCGCTCCTTCTCCCAACCACAGGCATTAAAAGTGATATCAAATTTTAGGATTTCAACTCTACTCCTTCACCTAACACCCAATGTAGTACTACTTAGTTCTTTTTGTAGAATTATAGTACACATAGACAAAACAACCTATGTACATATCTCAATCTTAGACACCAACAGAGACCACAATATCAAATTTCGGGATTCCCTTCACCCAATACCAAATTTTGGACCATTTAGTACTATGCGTACAAATGTAGGACGTATTTCCAACCCACTATTAAATCTCAAACACAAATACCATCAGTAATCTCAATATCAAATTTCAGAATTTTATCTCTATCCCTTCACCCAGTACCAAATATGGTACCATTTAGTACTTTTCGTACAATTATAGTACACATTTCCCAAACCACCTTTATATATCAATCTTAGACACTAACAGTTATCGCAATATAAAATTTCACGGTTTCAGCTCGTCTCCCTCACCCAATAATAAATATAGTACTTTTAGTACAAATGTAGGATGTGTTTCCAAACCATTGGCAAATCTCAAACACAAATACCATCAGTAATCTACATGTCAGTACCACTAAATATGGTATCATTTTCATACAATTATAGTACACATTTCCAAGCTACATATGAACAGCGGCGCTAATACCAAAATTCCAAAACAAATTCTTTATCAAAAACTAACAGCCAATATGGACATGAATACAAAATTTCAAAATCGTTCGTCCGTTCATCCATTTGATGCAGTTCGCACATTAAGTACAAATTAAATTAAGTACAAACCACCTTCATGTATCAAACTTAATGTCAAATTATGAGGGGAAACGACGGCAGAGGGCGGCTCTGGCATCCTTTTACGATATGCCACAACATATGCAATGCGAAGACTTCAAGCTGTTTATGTACTCACACCTTTACTTTCCAACATTTGCTCTGTTCAAGAACCTACAAGAAGAGTTCGAATTTCCCTTTGGTACATCTATCCTGCACTCCATCAGTAAGTCTCATTCCAATTTCTAGCTCTTTGCGTTTCTCCAATACAAAGTATTAAACTTTTACTACATTTGTACCCTTTTAGCACGAATTTGCAAAACCCCACCCACGCCTACACACCAAGACTGTACCTCGTGCTACATTTCAAGATTCCAGCTTCAGTTGTTTCGCCTGGTCGTTTATTCTCAGTCAATCAGTTATTTCACTACTTTTCTGTTAGTGAGAATTCCATACTTGTGTGTTTGTTCTCTTAGGGTTTCCTACAACTTTTAAGAGTTTTTCGTGTAAGGGCGTTCGAGTAAAAATTGTAAAAATATGTCTTGAGTCTGTAATTATGTAATTACATTAACCTCTATTCTATATAGCAACTTATACTGGTGGATCTAAGATGGAATTTATTTAATAATCTGGAATTTTTAAGCGATAGTCTACATAAAAACTCATATCGTCCAAAGATAGTGTTTCCAATAAATAATTTTATTTGTTTAGATGGCGTTACTTATTGTTATTTTAAATGTCCAGGCGTATTTTAAACCCCTTTTATCAATGTGATGCTTAGGTGGAAATTGAATGTTGATGGCGGGACCATTAAACTGCCACTGCAATTAAAAAAATAAAAACAATGCCAATTGAAAAAATCAAAAATCAGGCGGAATTGAAATTACCTTTATATCTGTGTTCTCCATGCCCAACATAACAATTGAATTGATATTGCTATCCAGTAGCTCAAGACCAACTAAAGTTACTTCTGGACCATTTTCAAACTTCTTACCCCATGGATAAATGCGGAGGCTGTTTGTGTCATAAGGATATTCTAAGATCATGGCATAGATAACAACTTGTCCATCTATTTCCTGATTACTCTTTGTATACCAAACGCCCGGCGTACTTGTATCATTCTGATGCGTCCACGGTTTGGTGGCATATATCGCTTCGCCGTTTATCTTCAGCCATTGTCCCAAATCCCTTAAACGTTCTTCGAATATTGGCAATATGGTACCATATTTGGTTGGTCCAACATTTATGAGGACATTTCCATTACAACTGACCGTGGTAATGACTTCGTGTATCACCTCTTCACTGGTCATGAAATTCTTTAGTGTCACATCGTAACGTTGACCCCAACTATCCTTGTCCAATGTGAATGCATTTTCCCATTTATGTTTTTGCAATACTCCAGGATTGTAACGATCCTTACAATTATAGAAATCACCATGCAAACAGGCCGTACCAATACCCCAACGATCGTTAGTTACAACAGTGTCGCGAACAGGGCTGTCATTATAGAGCCTAGTGGAGAAATAAAAAAAGGTGATGACACAGAAAAATACAACATTTTAAAGTATTTTCATATAAAGGCAATACAAATTATTCAGGGCTGTTACAGAAACCATGTCGGTTTTGCTTATTGTCGGTTTTGTAAACCATAGTTGGTTTCATTTGGTGTCATGAAACCAAGTTGGTTTTGTCAATTTCGAATGTAAATAAAACCAATGCTCGAAACAGCTGTTGTTGCTTACATGTGTTATTTGTTTATTTGTCATTGAAATATCAGTAAAAGTAAAGTAAATAAAAAATGAATAAGTCGCTATAAATAAAGTAAGATGGCATCAGCAGTGGTAGTTTTTGTGTTGTTGGACGAAGAACGCTCAGAAAAGGTGACGAAAAAAGCTCTTAGAGATTTCAGCAACCCACTGGAGTTCCCGGAGATAGCGTAAGTAATTTTTTTATTGTGAACTTACTCATAAAGCTGCTTTGCAGATTTATGGTCTATGGTCCTTTAAAAATTCTTTAAAAAATCCTTAAAAAATCCACGTTTATGGTCCTTTAAATATCTTTAAAAAATTCTTAAAAAATCCACGTTTATGGTCCTTTAAATATCTTTAAAAAATTCTTAAAAAATCCACGTTTATGGTCCTTTAAATATCTTTAAAAAATCCTTAAAAAATCCACGTTTATGGTCCTTTAAATATCTTTAAAAAATCCTTAAAAAATCCACGTTTATGGTCCTTTAAATATCTTTAAAAAATCCTTAAAAAATCCACGTTTATGGTCCTTTAAATATCTTTAAAAATCCTTTACGAAATCCACGTTTATGGTCCTTTAAAAATTCTTTAAGAAATCCACGTTTATGGTCCTTTAAAATTCTTTAAGAAATCCACGTTTATGGTCCTTTAAAATTCTTTAAGAAATCCACGTTTATGGTCCTTTAAAAATTCTTTAAGAAATCCACGTTTATGGTCCTTTAAAATTCTTTAAGAAATCCACGTTTATGGTCCTTTAAAATTCTTTAAGAAATCCACGTTTATGGTCCTTTAAAAATTCTTTAAGAAATCCACGTTTATGGTCCTTTAAAATTCTTTAAGAAATCCACGTTTATGGTCCTTTAAAATTCTTTAAGAAATCCACGTTTATGGTCCTTTAAAAATTCATTAAAAAATCCACGTTTATGGTCGTTTAAAAATTCATTAAAAAATCCACGTTTATGGTCCTTTAAAAATTCTTTAAAAAATCCACGTTTATAGTCGTTTAAAAATTCTTTAAAAAATCCACGTTTATGGTCTTTTAAAAATTCTTTAAGAAATCCACGTTTATGGTCCTTTAAAAATTCTTTAAGAAATCCACGTTTATGGTCCTTTAAAAATTCTTTAAGAAATCCACGTTTATGGTCCTTTAAAAATTCTTTAAGAAATCCACGTTTATGGTCCTTTAAAAATTCTTTAAGAAATCCACGTTTATGGTCCTTTAAAAATTCTTTAAGAAATCCACGTTTATGGTCCTTAAAAAATTCTTTAAGAAATCCACGTTTATGGTCCCTTAAAAATTCATTAAAAAATCCACGTTTATGGTCCTTTAAAAATTCATTAAAAAATCCACGTTTATAGTCGCTTAAAAATTCTTTAAAAAATCCACGTTTATGGTCTTTTAAAAATTCTTTAAATCCACGTTTATGGTCCTTTAAAAATTCTTTAAGAAATCCACGTTTATGGTCCTTTAAAAATTCTTTAAGAAATCCACGTTTATGGTCGTTTAAAAATTCTTTAAAAAATCCACGTTTATAGTCCTATAAAAATTCTTTAAAAAATTCACGTTTATAGTCCTTTGAATATTCTTTAAAAATTCTTTAAAAAATCCACGTCTATATTCCTTTAAAAATTCTTTAAAAAATCCACATTTTTAGTCCTTTGAATATCCTTTAAAAATTGTTTAAAATATCCACATTTTTAGTCCTTTATATCCATTAAAAATTGTTTAAAAAATCCAACGCAAATGAAAAGTGACAGCTCTAAGCAACTTGGTTTATTTCCAATAACATTGGCTTCTATGACAACCAAAACCGACAAAATTCTAATTCGAAAATAAAATCGATAACATTGATTTTCATGACACCAAAGCATTTTTTCTTGTCGTTTTTAAAACCAATAGTGACAAAATTGGATTCTATGACAGCCCTGATTATCATTATTTTTTTAATGTATCGGCATTTTGAAAGTAACCTAAAGAGTGAAGCAAGTTCCCTACTCTTCTACATTTTTTTTTTTAATTTTCGGAAGAAGATTTCTTTGAGTGCTTAAATTTTCGGTACATGATGTCTTTAGAAATATTAGAGATAACAATACGAAGATTATTTTGGCTAAGACGATTAACACTCAAGCAAGTCACCAAAGGTGTCTTTTTGGTCATTTTTCAAAATATACTTAAAAAATAGTTTTTAATAAAAATACCTTTAAACATGATCGTAGCAACTTAAAATATTATTTGCCTTTAAATTCTGCTATAGGTCCCAGAAGACAATAATAAAATAAAATTCGTTAAAAATTGCCGTTATATTAAGGTTTATACGACGACGTGGACCTGCATAGGCAACATGAGTATTAAGCCATTACAATATTCAAATGCGAAACTTAAAAAAATTCAGTGAATAAGGTAGCTAAAATCATCAAAATACCGAATATAGGAAGGTGTCTTTTACCTGCAGAGACAATTTTTTATCTTAGGCTATAGTATCCATTACGAACTTCAAATACCAAATTTGAAACAATTCCAGTGAATAATGTAGCTAAAATTATCAAAATATCGAATATCGCTAGGGGCCGTTTAATGGGGGCTATACGAAGACGTGGACATGCACAGTTAATTTTCTGTCATAGTCTGTAGTATCCAATACGAACTTCAAATACCAAATTTGAAATAATTCCGGTGAATAATGTCGCTAAAATTATCAAAATACCGAATATCGGGAGGTACCGTTATATAGGGGCTATACGAAGACGTGGACCTGCACAGAAAATTTTCTGTCATAGGCTGTAATATCCATTACGAACTTCAAATACAAACAATTCCGGTGAATAATGTCGCTAAAATCAGCAAAATACCGAATATCGGGAGGTACCGTTATATGGGGGCTATACGAACACGTGGACCTGCATAGACAATCTCCTGTCATAGGCTGTAGCACCCATTACGAACTTCAAATACCAAATTTAAAACAATTCCGGCGAATAATGTCGCTAAAATCATCAAAATACCGAATATTGGGAGGTACCGTTATATGAGGGGTATACGAAGACGTGGACCCGCACAGTCAATTTTCTGTCATAGACTGTAATACCCATTACGAACTTCAAATACCAAATTTGAAACATTTCCGCCGTTTAAATCACCAAAATACCGAAGATTGGGAGGTACCATTGTATGGGGGCTATACCAAAATGGGGACCTACACGCCCCATTTCCAATACCCAAAGACCTGCTGACACAATACACATTTGACTAAAATTTTATCAACCTACTTCATTTTGTTCGGAAGCTAGAGTGATTTCCACAAACGGACGGAAATCTCTAAATCGACATAGAATTTTATGCTGATCAAGAATATATAAACTTTGTGGGGTCGAAATGTATACTTCGAGGTGTTGCAAACGGAATACCAAATTTAATATGCCCTCCATACTATGGTGGAGGGTATAAAAACCACTATTGTTGTTGTGGTAGAAGCTCCAACTTCTGCGTTCGTTCTGATTCATCTCAATCGGGCTCTGCTTCTAAGTCCAGCCTAAGGTAGGACGCAATCGGTACAGGTTGGGTCCACAACGACACTGGAGCTAGTAAAGTAGGTTTGGCTTGGCAGCGAAATAAATGCAACGTGTCATCTGGGATTCTCTAAAAAATTTTCATTTACCGACAAATATCGATAAAATTAAATCGCAAAATTATGAACGAAAAGTGTTGTTTATTACCGAAATTGAAATCATTTTAGTTTTACCACACTGTTAGTAAAATTTGGTGTATCACAAGCATATATCACTCACATCCATAATCAATTGAGTAACCTTACCTCCACATTGTGCTAGAAATTCATACCAACCCGATAATACTCACCAGGCTATAAATTCTTCAGATTTCCAATATTTCGCTGGAGCTTCCCAATCGCCATCAGACCAAATGATTTCCGGTAGATATTCTTGAACTAAAAACATTTGCTCTGGTCGGGCTTTTTGATTGACATAGTCCTGCGTTAGAAATATGTGTAGCTTATCGTTGATATACATGCGATTGAACCACTCAAACAGCGAATAATAGAGGCCAAATTTCATGTCTGTATGTTGACGTATTGCTGAGGAGAGTTCTCCTAAGAAAATAAACAATAAAAATTCATTACGATTTACAATACGAATTATAAAAAATATGTTACTTATTATATCCTTTTTCGGTCCCACATCCATTGAATTCCAACCAAACGATTGAACAGAGGGCCATAGACAATAGCCGTCATGATGTTTACTGGTCAACACCACATATCTGTAAAATCAAACAGAAAATCTATTTGTTCTCTTTCAATACAATTGTTTATAATAATTTACTCACTTGGCACCACTGTCTTTGAACAGGAGAGCCCATTGTGTGGCATTGAAAAGTTCAGCATTAAATTCATTTGCAAATTCCTGATAAGAAAAGCCGGGTTTATAGTTCTTCTCCATAAACTCAATATAGTTTTTATATTTCAAATCTGTAAATTAAATGTTTAGCATTCTCAAATCTATTCTATGCATCTATCTTGTACTTACTTTTCCAATCTGTCCAAAACCACTCGGAACCCATACTTGGTACTGAGTACACACCCCAGTGTATAAATATCCCCACTTTAGCTTCATCATACCAGGTTGGTAAAGGTCGTTTATCTAGACTTGTCCAATTTGGTTCATATTTGCTATGATATTTACTGGCACTACCGTAACTAAGTGCAGATATTACAGCAATAATTATGAAGCAGAATTTAAACCAATTCTTTTTCTCCATTCAGGCTTAAACTTGTTTACTTTCCGGTGTTTGTCTCTATACTATTTGCATATTCTCAATTATTTAGCTTTGAGCTCTTCTCTCAATTCTTTTTTTGCGGGTTTTTTTTTTTGTTTGATGTTAATTGATAAGGTACAGTGGCTCCAATTGAACTTTTGCTAACGTGTGAAATGCAACTCAATTTTTATACCCTCAGCCATATGACTAGAGTGGGTATATATCATTTGATACGGCCAAAACGTGCCTCATCGAAATAACGGTTTTAGATCCTAGGTCTCTTTGGATCAAATCCATTTCAGGACATTTATAGTCAATCTAGCGATGTCCGTCCGTCCGCTGGTTCGCACGATAGCTGTCGAAGAGAGTGTCCGATTTGATCCAAACATGGTACACCGTAATACTATTGTCAAACTTAAATCGAGTTCGGGGATGAGCAATATCGGTCCACTCCTTCTGGTACCTCCCCCACAAAATGTCAACATTTTCAAAGAAAATAATATACTGCACAGAAAGAGAAAGTACAAACAGATTTTAAATATTTCCATAAACACAAGATCTGCTATAAAGATTCCCTCTGGTATCTTCCCCACAAAGGGTCAAAGTTTTGAATAACCAAAACGATCATAAAATCCGAAATAAGTATTCGGTTCTCTTTAAATTACACACATCACAATTTTTTTATTAACCCAAGGTCTGGTGTGAAAATGGAATATATCGGTCCACTCCTTCTGGTACCTCCCCCACGAAGGATAAAATTTTTGAATACACATGAAGCTCATTAAAACAGGAAATGAACATCCTATTACATTCCGACTTGGCACATCTCAATATTTCCATAAACACAAAATCTGTTATAAAGGTGGTAGAGATCGGTCCATTCCCTCTGGTAACTGCCCCACAAAGGGTCAAAGTTTTGAATAACCAAAATGATCATAAGATCCGAAATAAACATTCGGTTCTCTTCAAATTACATACATCACAATATTTGTATAAAAAGTTCTGGTGTGAAGATGGAATATATCGGTCCACTCCTTCTGGTACCTAACCCACAAAGGGTCAAAATTTGGAATATTCATGAAGCTCATAAAACACGAAATTAACATTCGATTTCACTCAGACTTGGCACATCTCAATATTTCCATAAACACAAATCGGTTATAAAGATGGTAGACATCGGACCGTTTTTTCCGGTACCTCCCTCACATAGGGTTTAAGATTTTAAAAAACAAAATGCTCAAAAAAGCGAAATAAGCATCCAACTCTCTTCAAATTTCACACATCTAAATATTATTGTGAAAATGATATATATATATATATATATATATATATATATATATATATATATATATATATATATATATATATATATATATATATATATATATATATATATATATATATATATATATATATATATATATATATATATATATATATATATATATATATATATATATATATATATCTGCCAACCCCTCCTGGTACCTTACCCACAAAGGGTCACAATTTCCAATATTTATCTCTGTCAGAACTTGCGAAACAAGTCGGCGGTTCATTACAACTTGCTATATCTAAATATCTCTCTTAACCAGAAATCTGATATGAATATGTAATTTATCGAAATTTATGATTTAGCATAAAATTGAATATACAAGTACCATTTCCTTCAAATATGCACATACCAATATATTTATCTCTATTAGATGAAGTATGAAAATGGAATACTTTGGTCCGGTATAAGTGTTACCTCACGCATATTTCCACATTTTCCTAAAATTTTCACATATTTCAAATCTGGCGCGTTGTAATATTTGTAACAGTCTTAGGTCAGATACGAATTGGTCAATATTGGGCAACTGCTTCGGAACCTCCCCCATAAAGCGTCAATAGTTTGAATAATCATAGCTAAAGGCTTTCGACGTCAAAACCGACTGATACTATTTTATTTGTTTGTTGGTTTAATTTCGTTACAATTTAGCAAAACTTCCTTTTTTCTAAATTCTAAAATTGCAATTCCAACGGACAAATCAAGTCATTCAAGAAACGAGTTAGTTGTTGGCATGTCTGCAATACACCAATACAGATAACTACAAGTATGTTTCAAATGATTCAAGGGCTGGATATGGCTCAACAGGGAATTATTTACTTTTTATCTTCAACCATTGTACCACCGACGGATCCAGTCATTTAATTGGTTGAAGTATTTAAGTAGGTGATTTGGTAGTTTTCCCACCAATACAAATGCTAATTTCGTATAATTTCGAACGTAATTTTTTTATTAAATATTAAAATAAATAAGTATATCGAGAGGGTAGAACACAATTACAATGTAGATTTCAAATCGCATTTATCAAAGACATTATCCAATTGCTGCATAAATACTTTCCTTTTTAAGTATAAAAACATTCATTTTCTTACCGGTAATAAACATTCCATATTTTACCCATATCTTTTGAATTTTGCAGCTTTAATATAATTATGTGTCATGCATGGTCTTTACCTCTCTCGCTAACCATATAATTTGTAATTGTCTTCAATAAATGCTTTTAAGGTTCTTTAAGCAAGATAAAATAATCGTACGAAGAACAAATATCTACAACGGACAAAAACCATGGTATCCAAAAGGTGACAATAAACTTGTATTATTTAATAAGTTATAAACAAATATAATTGCATGTTTAATATATATTTTAATTAAGTAAAACTTGAAACTTATAAATATTATTATAGAGAAAATGGTCGGTGATTGTGTTACTTATAAGGTATCAAATGTTTGTATTTCGTATATAATGATCATAAGTATTAAGGTAAGATCTATTATCGATAAAATGAATTTTGTTGTTACATAAATGTTATTATTATTATTATTTCAACAAAAGTTACAAAATGTAAACATAACCAATAACAAAAGAAATCATCTTTAAAGTCAATACTTTCGGAAATGTGACAATGATTTGTAAAAAACGAATTTTTAACTTTGACTTTTTGGTTTTTATTTTATACATATATATTTGTTTTTGTATATTTTTTTAAAAAACTATTGTACTTGAGATAGCTTCAAAAAAGTGTATGTAGTTATTAGTTGTGTGCAAGTTAGCGCTCTGGAATTCTGTTATGCTTAAAGTACAACCGTTTCAATTGCTAACATGCACAAGGTGTATATGAGATATTTAAGCAGTTATTAAACATTTATAAAATGGTGGTTTTCTGATTGATTACGATTTGCAGTAGTGATGGTGTATGGAACTATTGTTATTGCTTGTGGTGATTCTGTATAAAAACATGTATAAATATGTAATATGTATTGTTATAGGAAACATCTGAAAACACTAGTAAATACAATATAAATTAAAAAATTAAAAGATTCGCTCTCGACGCCTCGCATATATGTCTAAGGATTCATGCGGCCAGCAAGTTTGAGATTGTAATCAAACCTATTAGGTTAAATATGACACTAATTCCGTGAAATGGATAGAATCATATTTTCCAAATGGCCGTCAGATTTATTTAATTTCTAAAAATAAATTCCAATAAACTGGTGCTTTAAAATGCTGATTGACTGGTGTGGAATGAAAATAGAAAATCAATAATAATAATTGTTTTTATAGCTTCGGTGTTTTCTTTTGTTACATTCGCTTATGGTAAGGTTAAATAACTTTGATGTTAACTTTTGTTGATAATTCATGTTATTAGTTTAATTATTGGAATAAAAGCAGTTAAGGATGGACGTTTAACGTACAATGCAAAGAACAAAATAAAGAAAAAAATAAACATGATATAGTTACAAAGTAAAAAATGTTTGCTACAAATAATGGCAGTCAGTTTTCTTACTTTCCTTTACGTCTCTTCTAAAATTTGATACGATTTCTTTCATAAATTTCTATATAAAAAAATTACTTTTACTTTGCGAAAGTTTACAAAATTTTCTTTGGTTAGTCTACTATGTTATACAAAAGGGGGTGTTCGAAAATATTAGAGCCAAAAATGATCTATATTATATTCTATTTGAAGCCATCTCTTATCGATTAGTTTATCACAGATAAACTTTAATCAATTAAAAAATTACCAGAGATTTGTGTAGAGAACAAACCAACCAAACCTCTTATGGCTTCAAATAGATGAACCGTCAGTGTTCTTCAGGTGGTGTACGAAATTGAGTAATCCAATCGGTAACACGCAGACGAAATATTTCCGTTTTTGTTAAAATCCAATCACGATATTGATGCGGTATTGATTCAACCAGTTTCTCGGCAATTTCAGGATTTTTAAACATAATCATGTAGATGAGTACAACATTGAAAGCAACCATCAGGAGGAAAATCATCAACGATGTGAAAGCAGTACTTGAGGAGCTTGATGATGAACCTTTTATAACTCCATTTGCCGACTTTTTCGATTTATTTGTCTTTGCTATGGTAATATTGTCATTAGATGTCATTAAAGACGTTGCAGCAGCTCCACTTTTATTTGATACTTCCGAGCCATTAGCATTTTTCTTTTTTGATTTTGTCTTTTTGTTCTTTTTTGTTTTTGATTGTTGCTCCCCGTTGTTGGACGACGTTGTGTTGTCTTCATCCATTTCCTTGCCATTGGCCATTTGCTTTTGCAAAATTTCCAGCCGATATTGCTCCTTAGCCTTGATAGCTTCAATTTGCATATCCGACATAAATTTTACCTAGAAAAGCAAAATAGTAAAATCATACATTCATATCTAATTAAAGCAATATATATTATGTGTTACCGTTCGTTTTGCCGAATCCTGACAGTCTTTCATTGTCATATTTATACCAACAATTTTAGCCAACGCCGGTGTCAATGGATTTCCTTTCAAATCTAAATAACGCAGATTTGTGAGATCGCCAAAACTCAGAGGTAAGTGTTCCAGTTGATTGTCATATAAATCCAAGTGGCGTAAATTCCGCAACAGACCAAAATCATCGGGTAAAAATTTTATTTGATTTTTACTCAAGTCCAATTTAACCAATCGAGTGAGGGTGATAAAATTTTTCTGCAATTACAAGTATATTTAAATTCACAATGCAATATAAGTTAAAGTGGAATAAGTAAACTCTAAAAACCAAATTTAAAAAAATTCTCCTGATGTAACTAAAATCATCAGAATAAGGATTATCGGGAAATACCAAAACATGGGGATTCTAGGAAAGCCTATATATATACAAGTTTCTTCCACATGAGGTGGAACCCATTGCAGACTCTAAGTTCCGAATTTTAAAAAATTCTATAGAAAATGTGATCTAAGTTGTTAAAATTACGAATATTAGGAAGTACCGTTAAACGCTGGCTTATATAGACAATGTTTTGCCACAAAAGGAAGAACCCATTATGAAATCTATAAATCGATAATCTGTAATTTAAATAATTCCGTTAAAAATGTGGCTTAAATTGAAACAATAACGAATATCGACAGTTGCGTTCCATAACAAAACGTGGGCCTTTATAGAAATATCTCCGATATAGAACCCATTACAAACTCTATGTACCGAATTTTATACAATTCTGTTAGAAAATGTGATCTAAATCGTCGACATGCCATATATCTGGAGGCACAGTTATATGGTGGCCAAACGAAAAAGTTTACCGACATGCCCAATTTAGGAACTTAGCACCCCAGTCCAGAAATCACAAATAACATTAGGTTCCATAATTTCATTAATTAAAGCATTTGAAACGGTCTACGGTACAGTGTGCATTACACTATATTTGGTTAATATATTTAATTGACTTATCCTCTTACATTTGTTCTTATGAAAAAATAAAGAAAAGACGCCATATTATCCGGAAGTTGTCCTCCCCATTTTTTAAGTTTTAGGGATTAAGGACAACAGATTTCGCAATAATTTAAGTATTCAAATGCTGTAGGGTACAAAAAGACCGCCCGGCTGGACTTTCCGCCGAATTTTTAGGTACTTACCCCGAGAGACATTAAAAGATTGCTCGACAAATCCAAGACATTTACACGTTTAAATGATGCCTGAAAATAAAAGAGATAATGTATTAAAAATTATTCTTTAAAACGATATTGCGACCCTTGTATTAAGAATGTTCTCAATATTCTCGCCACCAGTATTGGATGGAGTGGCTTTGGAACTATCTCCGGAGGCAAAGTCCATTCATACGATCCTCGTCTACCATATGTGATGGAAGAGAAACATGGAGTAGCGGACAAAAAAAGGGCTCATCTCGCTCTATTCCTGCAAGGATGGAACATTTCAACCACGGATAATAAATTGTGGTCACATCAATGGTTTCTCGTCTGTGTAGAAATTCGATTCTGTCCAAACTATGCACAGATAGCGGATAGTATTCTGATTTCTAAAGCAATTAAAAGCACGCTCCAAGTCGTCATTCAATCACTGAATCAGCTGATGTATTTAAGTATTTGAAAGTAAGTTTAAATATGAAGAGGAATTACAGACATTGTACATTTGGCAGATATGAGATAGATTCTATAACATTCTTATCAGACATAATCATTCTAAATTTGCAGATAGTCTACATTGGTTTTTAAAACTTTCTTAATGCTTCTTTTCAAATAGCAAAACTATGCTTAAGTTGAGTTTAGGGGCTGTACTTGGATTGTCGTGCAATTTTTACCGCGTGTAACCTGATTACGGCATAGTACGGATATACCCGGATACCCGGATATTCGGTTCCGGAGAATTACAGGAAAATTGATATTTTTGGACCGGAACTTTTTAAAAAACCCATAAAAAAGTCGAACCCATACTGTCGCCTACACTCTGACTTTTCCAAAATGGTACCATATGCAATTATATTTCTTGTAGTTCCGAAGATATTAGTGTTGCGAATGATGAAATTGAGATTTTCTTCACTAATATGGAACTAACCTTTATAGCTTTGTTCCGAAGATATTGACTTTAAATTCCAATTACGGCTGCTTAAAATAGTTATAAAGTTTAGAGAAACTATGGATCGCGTAGCCGGTGTTGGACATAACCCAGAGAATAAAATCTTAAGACCCGGCCGAAGGCCCGCTGCTTACATAAATTACAATGTTTAGAACAACTATGGATCGCGTAGCCGGTGTTGGACATACTCCAGAGTAGAAAATCTCAAGATCCATCCGAAGGCCTTCTACTTACAAGAATTACAATGGTAGCAAAAATATGCATCGCGCAGCCGGTGTTGGACATTCTCCAGAGGAGAAAACCCCAAGCTCCGGCCAAAGGCCGTCTAATTACAAAAATTACAATGTTTAGAAGAACTATGGATAGCGTAGCCGGTATTGCACGGACGCATCACAGGGGAGAAATTCTCAAACCCTGACCCTGGCGAAGACCCGCTACTTAAAAAAGTTTAGATACATATTAATTCATGATTTGCATCACCAATATCTCTAGAACTATATGTGGTACCATTTTGGAAAGGCAAGAGTGTAGCATGTAGATATTAATATCCCATAATGGGTACATTATTTTTGAGTTTTTAGTGGTTTTTCAAAAAGTACTGGTATAAAAATACGAATTTTCTTTGCATTACTCCGGAACCAGTTCCAATAACCCCTTCATATAACTTATTGGATAGGTATTTCCATAAGCTTTCATTGATATCCATTTTGTAGAACCGATCACAATCCGGGGAAACGGATATCACCGGCGGTATACATTTCATAAATTTCAAAATAATCCGAGCATAGCCCCTGAACTCAACTTGCTTCGTGTCTGGTGTATTACCAGTATTTGTAATACCAACCAAGGTAAAATGGGTATTAACAAAAATTGACATCTTTTAAGTAGCCGACCTTGGACCGTGGCTTGAGAGTTCTTCCTTTTGGGAATGTCCAACACCGGCTACGCGACCTTAAGTTTTTCTTCAGAAACTTTTTAGGGGTCCCTAGAGTACAAAAGTGAGTATAAAAATTGTCACACTTCCGAAAAAAATTGCTGAGCAAATAGGTTTTACTTGAATAGTACCATGAACAGTACAAGAGTCAGAAGCTATGTTTCTATTTTTTTGTTTCTTTGAATAACACATTTGTTTTATATATCTGAACGATTGGCTCAACAAGGTTTATTCATGTATAAAAACTGTTCTGCAGAATTAACCGGCCACTCTCGATTAGCATCAAAAAAAATTGCAACTCTGCTGCGAAAAAATGTAAATAAACAAACCCCAGAATTGTTTTTTCACTTCGTGAATCAAATAAAAACCACTCGACACTTGTGAAAGGAACGAAAGGGAAACAAAAGTCAACAACGAAAACATAGAGAGAGAAAGTGCACTTTTCACCGATGTCTAACGAGAGCAAACCGGACCTCAAACCCTGCCATTATTTATAAGCACTGATGTTGATGACCCACAGCCGAAACAACGACAAACAACCACAAACAGACAGCGAAAGTGTTAGATGAGTGGTTGAAATGAGTAGGAAGAGACACTGCAATTCTGGATTGGAATAATGGATACATAATAACACCTTGGCACCTTGGAATCAGGGTGTGTTTTGCAAGTTTGACATATTGCTAAATTGAAAATGATGTGATCTCCTTTCACTGGTTATTTTCCACTTTGATAATAGACTTTCACTTTCGCCTGGCACTTGGTGTCCTCCGGGCTCCTTAAGGGATATCGCCACTCCATCAATTTGTGTCCCCTTTTTTTCACTTACAATTTCTTTGACCGGAACTTCCTTCAGTTCGCACAAGCTCAAATCGCAAACATTATCGTCTACTTTGTCTTTTACATTGATTTTTGCTCCTTTTGCCATTTTTCCGGTTGGAATTTTCAATAATTTAGTTGAAACCCCAATTTTATTTCAAATTAATTTTTTTGAGACCGAAAAAGAAATGCAGCGTTGAAGCCACCAAACCGAAACCCGAAACTAAAGAGAATGCAACTGAGAAGTTCAAGGTATTGCTTAGAGTTGCCAGGTCTCAAATGTTGATATTAAATAAATGGATTGTCTTTTGGGGGATGAGCAAAAAAAAACGCTTAAAGGTTGGTGTAGGAAACTAGTCCAGCTTCGATTTGTCTGGTGCGTATTTCGCATATGCTTTATCGCAATAAATACGAAATAAATACTTGCTCTGCAAGAATGTAAAAGAATTTACTGCGATAACCGATTATCCCATGGTAAAATAGTCTTTTCAAAATAAGCATATCCATCTCTGTATTTTTTGTAATTTACCTTGTCAAATTTCACTGCATAGAAACTAAGATTTCATCTCTGTTTTGTGTAAATGTATTTTTTAACAATGAGATGTTGTCAAACGTACAATTTAAAAAAAAAAAACTGTAAACATATGTTTGCATGACTTTACGTTCTTCATTCATTGATTAAGATGTCGAAAGAAATTGTAAAACTAATAGATTCTTTCAGAATCTGGAACCAAGCAGCTATTTTCCCTTGTAAGCCATCCACACAAAATATGCCCGCAGAGCTGCTTAATCAACGGTGGTGAGTGTGGGATAATATGTCTCTAGCTTCCTTTTTTCCCTGCCCAAACAAGGCAAAACTCGCGAAATGTGTTGCGAAACCCTCAACATTTCCTCCTAATGCTTTCTTTTAAAGTACTTGGCAATCCTACTTTATTTGACAATTTTTTTGATGTCGAAATGGAATGGAGTGTGAAATGAAACAAAATGTTGCCATATTATTATTATGAAGGGGACATTTGCAATGTAGTTTACACTGGGTAATAAAGTTACCTCACGTCGAAGCAGTCTGTTGTACTTTTGCTCGACATAATTTTCAATAAAACGCGGTAAGGAAAATTCATAAGTCGGGCGGGCCGACTATATGATACCCTACACCACTATGCCTATTTAGTAGAGCTCCTGTAAAAAAAGAATTTATTTGATGTAGATCATACCACCTATCAACATTTAGCTTTAGAGCAGTTATAGTTTGGTTTCAAAGGGACACATATCCAATTCTGGATCAATTTTCACAAAATTTGATGGAGACATTTTAATCTTTTATTCCAAATAACATTGCTATAGTTGCTGCTGAATATCACTTTGAGAAGGATTATATTAAAATATATATGTCGTAGGCGAGTTCTACAAAATGGGAACGTACGTCCCGAAATTCACTCCATTTGGGCTGATATTAGCCATTATTTGCACAATAAACCTGAGATCGGATTAAGGATATATATGAGAGCTATGTCCAAATCTGTGCCGATCTCGATAAAATTTGGCAAAGAAACTGAGCTCTCTAAGATATTAGGTACCAATATGTATCTGAACCTATTTTGAAATCTAAACCGATCTTGATAAATTTGACAAATCGAATGAAACATATTTATGGGAGCTATACCGCTTTTCTCCAAATTTGAATTAATTGCTTCTATACTGAATTCGGTCGAATGTGCCAAAATGCAGGTCATTTGGACTGACATTTAATCTCTAATCAATAATTTCATCACAATCGGATAATAAATGCGACCTGCATTTTGTTCACAAGAATGCATGGACAGACGGACTGATCAGCATAAATCGAATCAGAAAGTGATTCTATGAAGATCCTCCAAAGTAACTATGGGTCTCTCTCGCTTCCTTCTCCATGTTACAAACAAATGCACAAAGACGTAATACCCTTACCACTATGTGGTGTAGGGTATAAAAATCCAATACAATACAATTCTATCTTATTTGTGCAGAACTGTGTAAATCACATGAAAAATTTAGTAGTTTGGTCATGGTGCAGTAGAAAGGTAAGGTAGACCCAGTAGCTGATTACATTTTTTTCTAAGTGTGTCCGACTTCTGCCAATTTTGTAAGTATTTTTTGTTTTGAAAAAATAAATTTTTGATAGCTTATAGATACAGTCTTCCAATTTGAAATGTATAACGGAATTTGGTACAAAAATAAATTTGCCAAATTATATTGAAATCAGATCAGATTTGGATATAGCTCCCATATATATTTTCGACCGATTTCATGTATGCACCAAATACGATATCCCAATGAAATACGAAATGAGTAACGGAATTTGGTACTAAAATAAATTTGCCAAATTATATTGAAATCGGTTCAGATTTCGATATAGCCCCATATATATTTTCGGCCGATTTCTCATATTTGATGCACTAAATACGATATGTATGTCCGATTCCAATGAAATTCAAAGTGAATAACGGAATTTGATACAAAAATAAATTTGCCAAATTGTATGGAAATCGGATATAGCTCCCATACATATTTTCGAACGATTTCATATATATTAGATGCACCAAACATTTTATGTATGTCCTACTCCAATGAAAATCAAAAGGAGTGACGGAATTTGGTTCAAAAACATATTGGCCAAATTATATAGAAATCGGTTCAGACTTGGATATAGCTCCCATATATATTTTCGCCCGATTTCAATATATTTGATGCGCCAAACGCGCCTTGTATTACCAATTTCAGTGAAATTTACAATTACTACAGAATTTTATTCGAAGAACTATATTGAAATCGGTTGAAGTTTGGATGTAACTTCCATACTTGTTTTTGACCGATTTCAAATATGTTATGTGTGATCGTTTCCAATAACATTTGGATTATGTGAGGGAATTTTGTGCAAAGATAATTTTACCAAATTATATTGAAATCGGTACAGATTTTGATATAGCTCCCATATTAATTTCCAGCCGATTTTGTGTATTAGATCCACCAAACATGCTATGTAGCTTCAATTTCAATGAAATTTGAAATGTGTTTGGTCTAAAAATAAATTGCTTCAAATTCGATATAATTCTGTTCAGATTTGGACATTATTTTATAAGAAAACAAAGACCCACCATTACAATTGTAAAATCACAAAATGTTGAATGTATATAAAGTCTGAAGATGTAGCAAAGCGTACCGGGTTCAAGCTAGTACTGTATAAATTGGTTCAGTAGAATAGCCGCTAAACTCAAAATAAGCCAAATATGTATTCAAATTTAGCTTCGTAAATCTTAAATGCGTCGTTTAAACAAATTTGCATTGACTTAAAACAATTTATTTGAAAGGTCATTTTATTGATTTTTTTTCCACTGAATATGTTCTATAACAATTAGTTCAATAGTTCCAAATCAATACCCATCTAAATACTTTTCATAAAAACTCAATTGAAACCAAACATTTACAAATTAAAACGTTCTTTATTTGCTTATCTAATTAATCACGTAAAAATACCAAGCAAACAAATGAACTTTGTCTAGGTCCTTAAGCAAGAAGATGAAGATGATACATTTCCAGTTTAATCTTCTTCTTCTTCGGCACCACCAGAACCACCTTGGTTCTTCTTCATGTTCTTCCTCTTCACGCGACCAGGGCGGCCGCCACCGAAGGGTGACTTCAAGGAGAAGTCAATGTGTTTTTGGGAATCCAAACGGACCACAAATGAGGGAATGTTGACCACCTGTTTGCGGACGCTGTAGAAAGAAAATAAAAAAAAAACAATTAGGAAATTTATTTGCAATACTGCTTTGAGAAAAGGAGGTTCTTTTAAGAGCTTCTTTTCAGTATATGGTTCAGTTTGTTGTAGTTTCTTTGAGTTTTGTTTTCCCAACTTACTCGGCTGAGTGTTTAGGCTGGACCTAAACTCAATTGGTTTGTGTGCACCCACATCAGCATGGTGGGGCCAACGAAAACCAATACCAAAAGACGTTGAGAGCCGGTACAAAATACCCCATACCTCCATTACACTCAGGGTAAATTGTTCGACTCCCAAGTGGTCTTACTGAACACACTTTGCATTTGTGCATAACGAATTAACACATGGGGATCAGTGAAATGTCTTAGCTGTCCATTAACAACTGCAAACAATTTTTCTGTCCATCATATCAGAAAGGAGAATATTTACCGAATGTGACGTTGACGGATCAAGACACGGGCGTGATGAATAGATTTGGCCAATCCCAATTTGAAGACTTGAGTTTGGAGACGACGTTCCAAGAAATCTTCGATTTTCAAACCCAAAACGTAATCGAGCTTCATGCGGGATTCATCCAACACACCAATACGAACCAAACGACGCAACAAAGCGTTACCTGGAAGAACAAGCAAAATCACATTAGTAAACAAATTATTACGAGAGATAATCATGAGATTTTAAGCAAAAATGCTTCAGCGTGTCAATATCGTCAATGATTTTTATTCAGACAAGAAGTGTCAGAAAAATTATAAATTACTAAATCATCATTTCCAAGTATCGATTGGCTGTAGTGATAAAATAAAACATTTTCTTACCTTGGAACAATCTCTTTTCGTCCTTCTCTTCCAAAGTCAACAATTCACGAGCGGCTTTACGGATTTTAGCCAAAGCGTACTTGACACGCCATACCTCACGCTTGTTACGGAGACCATATTCACCAATGATCTTCAATTCCTGATCCAAGCGGGCCTTTTCATAAGGACGGCGAGGAGTGACATAGGTCTTCGAAAAGACCGAAGGTATACGTCCGTTCACCATGCTGTTACCAACTCAAGCCGAATACTGCAATGGACAGACAAAATAATAGGTTAGCTTTTTAATCCACAAATATCACCAACATCTTTGCATAATTTCTTTAAATTATGAATGCAAATAGAAAATGTATTGAAATACTTTAATGTTTCACTGTTATTAGTTAAAAAAAAGCTCATTTATTTTAATCATTTCGCAAGTTTTGTTAACACAAAAAAATTGTACGTACATTCGGTTTGACGATTCAACAAAGAAAGAAAGAAAGTGGTAGGGATATATACGTTGACTTTTGTCTAATCGATTTATCGTGTTTTGATGGCAAAAAATCGAAGAGTTGGAATGGAAATCGATTGTGGGTCTAATCGATTTTTTTGTTTCTTTATGAAGAGTTGCCAAAGTTGGGAAAATGTCATATCATAATCGCACATGGTAGAAGAATACTGGTAAAAGCATCAACGAATG